CATCATAGAATGCCAGTTTAATAGAACAAAGTATTCTTGCATTGAGGGAGTACTTGAGTGGAGGCCCAATGTCCATCTGCTACCTTAATACTAAGGGTGAACTTTCTTAAAGAATATAATTGAATTTTTCTTTCAAATAATAAGAATGCATTTCACCTTTCAACCAAAGCTTATTTTTAAATACTTTCCTCTGTTGACGTGTTGCTAATGGTATCAACTGGGATTAATTCACATGGTATCACCCTACTGCATTGGTTGGTACTTTTGATACAGAACTTGAACCCTTAGAGTTGCGTAATGTAATCTAAGAACCCTGAGATATAGTAAGCCATATTCCTTTCAGATTATCTATCTACTTAACATAATCATTTAGAATATTTAATGTTGCATGTTGTGTACCTCACTTTGGAACAGAAGACAAAGTGAATTGGGTTATATTTTTCTAAATACATATCTACGTGTGTCTCAGACAAAAATAATTTGAGTATGTATTTTAATCAAAATGCTCTGTGTAATTAACATTAAAAAGTGCAAACAATTTCAGGTTAGTCTTTTTATTTCAAATGACTACTTTTCTTTTACTTTATGAAGTTGATATTCAAGTTAGTTCCATCTGGTTTAGGACCAATGTAATAATTTTTTTAAACTTTATAATATATACGATATAAAAATCTTTCATTCAAAGGACCCAGGGGTTCTGTTGCATTGTCTATATGAACCTGTGCTGTTGATCCTGATTTGTAATCATGTAAATGTTCACATCTCCGCTAATTCTCATTCAGCCAAGTTTGTACACCAAAACAGATGGTAAAATCTCTGCCTCTCTTGCTGATTACAAAGAGTAGTAAACTACTTGCTCCAGGCTACCAGTGTCGGCTTTGTCTGAAGGCATTTCGTCTTGGTCAACATATAAGATTGCTCCCATGTACTCACAAGGTAAGGATCACATGATTTTAGTTTCATTTCCCCTGGAGGGCCAGTGTTCACAAACGGGGACCTCTGAAGTCTGTTTTCCCTGGTTAACTGCACACTGAGCCTAATGGGAAAGCAGCTCTGCCCCTAAGAACAGACTCCTGTGGGCTAGGGTTCACTTGTACATGTTCTCACTAGAGAAGGGGGCTTGTCACTTCCAATTACATGTACTGATCTACTGTCATTTTCTGAACAAGGAAAAGGATTATACAATACTAACATTTTTATAACGTTTATTCTTTAAAAAGGCTAAATTGACATATTTATTATTTCATATGAATGCACTAGAGTCAAAGTCTAAGATTGCTTGTTCTATATAAAATTAGACAAAAACTAATAAGCCCTTTGTTTCTTTTGAAAACATAGTCACAGTAAAGAAATCTCTACTCTCTTTAAAGTTACCCTATTTAAAATGTCTGATAGCTTTTTTCCCCTTAAGAATGTGATTTCTTTTATGAGGGTAAGTCACATTGCATTGCTACCAGTTTTCCAGTTTAGACATGCATAGGCTTAATAGCGAAGAGAACATGGCATAGGCATGTCTCTGAGATCAGTGGCTGGCTGGCTTCAGGCAAGTGTTCCTGGTAATATGCAGTTGTCCCAGTCTCACTACTATGCCTTCCAAAAAAGTCCAATCAAACAGTGACTCACAAGGGAATCGGCTTGCCCAGTTAAATGCAGTCCAGAGAAATACAGACAATTGTGGTGACTGTCTTTTAGGATCCCAAATAGATCATCTTGATAGATTTTTCTTGAAGGACAGACGATCATTGGAGCTTGTTAAAGTTTTCAGAAAATGGAAAACTGCCTTCATGAGAATAAAGTCAGAAAGTTGCACCAAATAATGTTCCTGCCCCGCCCCATCATGACAATGCACCTATCCTTCTTTCAGAGCATCAAGGGATGTCCTACAGACGTTTCTATGAGAAACCTTTCTCCATCCACCCTACAGCTTTCGCTTTGCTTTTCAGACTTGTTGGTGCTTTCCAAACCCAAAGAACACAATTTCATTCACCCAAGGATGTCAAAACTGCCATTTGACTTGGTATAAATCAAAGAAACTCAGAATTCTTTGAAGAAGTGTTAGAGAGACAGAAACACCACCTTCAGGCTGTAAAAATTGAGATGAAGGATATGTTGAGAAATTATAGCTTATTCTTGTTTAATAATGGATTGAATTATTTTGTAGCAATACTTTTTGATGCACCCACATGTATTGTACTGCCTTCAGATCTATTTTAAATTATGCTTGGTTATGGTTTCTATTAAGAATTTCATGTAAAATTAATAATTTATATTAAAACAAAATAATTAGACAGCAGGAGGGGCAGTACCTGGAGCTCCCCAGGACCAATGGGGAGATAGTCATAAAGGTCTCCAGACAGGCCTGGAATTATGTATGGATTTTTCTCTCTCCTTTTCCTGTTTGTATTTCTCCCCTTCGATCTTTTGTTTTCTTTTGGTTTTGCATTCGTTCTTGCTGTTTTGTCCGCCTATATCAGATAAGCTTGAGAAGCAAGCCCGAGAAAGCAATGTGACCAACGGTTCTGGGGTGGGGGGCGAGGGTGGGGTGGACTTGAGGGCAGGAGGAGTTGGAGGGGGAAGGGAGGGGTGAGCAAACAGTGCTTGGACAGGGGAACAGTAGGGAACTAAAATCAATGGTGAGGGGAGTGTAGGGACCCTGGTAGTGTTGGTGCTACAGTAGTCTAGCTGAGAGGAATTACTGAGAGACAAATGAAGGATGAGCATGATGGCAGGGCAGGAGGAAGGTAAAACGAAACAGGAAAGATCTAGGAAGGAAAACCCCTGATAGAGATAGGAAACATAGTTGTGTACATGTGTAAAATATTCATAAAAGTTGAGGTATTGGCCTCTGTACATATATTTATATGGCAATATATTGAGGAATGGGATGGACTTTGGGCCTCTACTCAAGCCACCCCTCAATGTGAGGACACTTTGTTCTATTAACTTGACATTCTGTGATGCTCACCCTCCCGACATGATCGCTGTAGACAAAATGGGTACTTAAGCAAATGTGGTGAAGAAAGCTGGTTGTGCCCAGCTATTAAAAGATAATAGTATCTGGGGTCTTAGAGTCTTGAAGTTAAACAAGCGGCCAACTAGCAGAGAAGCAACAAGCCCACACGGAAGAAGCACGCCATCCTGTATGATCACGAGATGTTGACAGGCCCAGGTAGCAGGCATCAGAAGACCCGAAACAAATAATCATATTGTTGAGAATGAGGGAGGTCGAAGTGGAGACCCAAAACCCATTTGTAGACAATTGGACATCCTCTCACAGAAGGATCACAAGGGAGGGACAAGTTAGCCACGGTTGCAGTATAGCCCCAACGAAACACACAGTATTCCTTTGGTTCCTTGAGGCTTCCTCACCACTAATATCATGACCCCACCTCCACCTTACAAATCTGGCTAGACCAGAGCATGTACACTGGTACAGACAAGAGCTCTGGAATCCAGGACAGATAAAGCCCTCAGGAACAGTAAATGGGAATAGTGATAACAAGAGGATAGAGGGAAGGTGGGGAGAACAGGCGAAATAGATCACAATGATTGACGTGTAACCACCCCCCACAAAGGGGAAGGACAACAGAAACAAGGTGAAGGGAGACAGCTGTTGATGTAAGATATGAAAATAATAACTTATCGAGGGTTCTGGAGGGTGGGAGGGGGGAAAGAAGGGAAAAAAGAAGAGCTCAAACCCAGGGCTCAAACAGAAAGAAAATGTTTAGAAAATGATGATGGCAATATATGTACAAATGTGCTTGATGCAATTGATGTACGGATTGTTATAAGAGCTGTAAGAGCTCCCAATAAAATGATTTTTTAAAAATTAGACAGCTATGAAATTAATAGCTTGAATAAACAGTGAGCTTTTAGACTAAATTATAAGGGTGATATCCATAGGATTTCCATTTTAACACTGAAAATGGAGATCAGTCTGTAGTCAATTATATTTATAAGTGAGATTTTTCAAAATATTTCTGCAAAGTTTGTAAATTATTATCTTATTTTTTGCTAAATATACATAGTAGCCATAAATAATATACATTATAAATAAGATAATTATAGGTCTAATGAACTTCTAAATTTTTTTTCAGTTTCACAGAAAATGTATTGACAATTGGTTACTTCACAAGTGCAATTCGTGCCCTATTGACAGGCAAGCTATATATAACCCTTTAATATGGAAAGATACAGCAATGAATGGACAAGCACATCAGTCTGTTTCAAAGACGGATATTACTCACCCATCAAAACAAGAACCACAGCTTTTTGTTCCTGGTACTAGAGTAGTCTTACAACAAAATAAACTTGGGATTTTACCAAGCATTTCTCAAGAGAATTCTGAAAAATTGAGTACATCTTCAAGTCCAGCAGATCAGAACACCATAACAGATCATTTACACTCTATTAAATTAAGTGACTCAATGTCAAGAAATCTAACCTATGAATATAAAATTAGCCAACACTTCCCCAGGTATCTTCAAGATTTGCCAACTGGATCACTTGGGAAGATATCAACTCAAACATACCTTCCTTCTATTGCGCACAATGTTATAGGCCCTGACAGTTGTCATTACCAGACGATGGTTCAAGACCCTACAGTTATTGACCACAATCCAAAGAAGACTCTTGGTGCTAAAATAAGAGAGGACAACAAGAGATCAAATACATTATTTCCAGAGGATTTAAATCTTATTGTCAATTGGGGTACAACTAAACTTAGTTTGTCTAAAAGGTATAATAATTGTATGGGTAAAATGAGACCTAAGTGTAGTCATTTAGCAAGAAGACCATTATCTCACCCCTTCAATGCAAAAAGTAGTACTGAGATAACCTTAGTAATGGAAGGAGTTCAATTGTAAAGAGAAATATTTTTTTATTAACATCAGAAAATATTTAAATATGAGCATTAAAATGTTTTATTTGTATAACATAAAAGATATATACTCTTGATAAATGTGTGTAAAATTCTGTTGTGATTTTGATAACTGGTCAAAGAATAACATCTCACTTGAAGAAAATAGAAAATGACCGCATATCTTTAAAGAGTTAAAGCACTAGGTGTGTGATGAGTATGTTTGTTACTCAGTATATTCAGAATTACGAATGTTTCGTGTCTCAAGTCTGATTTTATACATATTAAAATTGTTTTATTTAAATTAAGAAGATAGGTGTTCTTTTGCTTTAAGTAACTTTTCAAATATCCTACTTGATAGCAAATAATTTGCAGACCTTTTTCAGGTACTTGTCTATAACGTGTAGGGAAATCCAGATGTGGATTTTAATGATATTTTGTTAAAGAAATGTTCTTTTCTTTTTTAAAAATCATTTTATTGAGGGCTCTTACAGAGATCATAGGAGTTGAAATTGAAATTACTTATAAAGCTGTAGGCTTTTCCACATTTATAATGTTGGTGGGTGCCATTGAGTCGGCTCCACTGACACACTTCTGCCTTATGTGCCTCGAGGTGATCCTGCTGGTATTTGAAATACTGGTAACGTAATTTCCAGTATTAAGGCAACATTCAAGCCACAACAGTATGACAAACTTACTGGAAACCCTTTGGGTTTCCAAAACTTTAAATCTTTACAGAAATAAGAGTCTCGTCTTCCCTGGAGCTGCTGGTGGGTTAGAACTACTAATCGTGGTTAGCAACTCAAAGCATAAAATGTCAGAGCTTCCAAGTTCAACGATACTCCCATGGGACTCACTGCGGTGGAGGCATTGCTAACTCATAGGGACCCCTCGTGCATTTCTGAGACTGCAGCTGTTTACTGGAGTGGAAAGCCCAGTCTTCCTCCCTGCTGGTGGTTTCAAACTGCCAACTCTAGATCACAGCCCAGTGCAGAACCACTATACCATCAGGCCTCATGATTCAAAGACAGCTATCAGGCATGGAGCTTCCTTCTTAGTGGGAGGAAGTGCAAGATGTGGAAACGTGTCTTTTATTGCGGACGTGCTCCTTTCCATTGAGCCTTTAAAACTGTTCATTGATGCAAAGAGCCCTGCACCCCACCCACACCCACCCACACCCACCCCACCCCCATCTTCTGCAGCAAGTGTGCCATACTGAGGCTTCAGCAACATTTTGTTTATGCAGCCCAATTAACGTAACAGCATTGAGACGGTGAATCAGTATGCAATTCTGAACTATATGCAGAAAGTCCAGTGAGCAGAAGAATGAGCATAGTTTAAAATGTGTATTGGAGCAAAATTTTAAATGTATATTGCCTGTTCTGAATGGTTATCAGTAGATATGCATAGATATGGATCAGCTTTGGTTCTCTAGAGGAGCAAAACTGAATTATATAAATATATAGTGATTGGCATCAAGAAAGTGGCTCATGTCATTGTGAGCTGTGACTTCTGCAATCCTGGAGGCTGGCAAGTTCCACATCTGTGGGTCCTGCTACAGCCTGAAGCCCCCTTCAGCTGACGGTTTCCACAGGCACGTGTCCGCATACTGGAGGTCAGGCAGCAAGAAGGGTGCAGGGGAGAGCAGAAGGAAGGGAAAGGACTGGAGATGGGGGGGGGAGGGGGGATCGATTCACGGACGAAAGCCAGGCCACACTCCCAAGGATGCTCACATAAGATCATAAAATGGGAGAGAATTACATCATGTTTGCCAAATCATGGAGCTTCATACCCTACCCAGATCGACATACAACATTATTACAGTATACCACACCTGACAACAGCTCAGTTCCTAACAGATACCACATCTGGCGTGACTGTTGCCATTAAGACCACATCTTTGCGTTTGTGGTAGCCTGCTATCAGCTTCCAGGACCCTTCTGGGATCTGCAAGGGCCAGACTGGTAAAGGATTTGATCTTTTAGCTCCATCAAGCAACAAACGCACTCGCTGCCGTCCAGTCCATGCTGACTCATAGCAACCACACAGGACAGCGTAGGACACACTGCCCCAGTGAGTTTTCCAAGATGGCAACTGTGAATGGGAGCAGAAAGCCCCATCTGTTTCCCACGGAGTGGCTGGTGGTTGCAAATGGCCGACCTTGGAGACCATTACCCACCTTGGAATGCAAATTTTTAAATTTCTTATCTCGGTTGGAGAGGGTCAAGTTTTAAAGGCTCCCATTGGGCTTCCCCATAGTGATGATCTTTACGTCAAAGAGCAAAGATCCGAAGCAGGGCCCAAATATTTAATATACTATCAATTATACAAATAATGCTACCTGTGGGCACAGTGAACTCACCATGAACCGTATCTTCTGCAGAACTCTACTGTCCGTTTCCCATGAACTTCCACTCAACACGGGCTATTATGGCATTTCAAATATCTGGGTATCAATAGATTCAAATTGGATATACTACAATCTTCAAAATGTTTGGCTAGTCCTGTTTCCCCAGTTCAGGGTACTTGGGGGACCAGCTCACCCTATTTGCCCAGTATTTATAAGGCTTTCTCTTCCTAAAAAGAGTTAACAGTTTCTAAAACGTATAGAGGTGGTTCTACCCTATAGGGGTGCTATAGGGGTTAGCATCAACTCGATGGCAATGAGTTTGGTTTTTTTAGTTACCCGGGCAATCCCGTGTTCTCAGTAGCCCCTCTGTCCTGTGCAGACCAGGACAATCTTCACAGTAATCCAAGGAAATTGCTTTTATTGAAAAGAGTGATCGAATCAATACAAAGTACATTTTCTATAGTGTTACCATTTTCTTCCTCCTGGAGACTTGGCCTTTTCTTCAGTCAACAGGTTCTGGGTCTGAAACAGCAGGAACTGTTTTCTTAATCATTTTATTGGGGGCTCATACAACTCATCCCAATCCATACATAACATCAATTGTGTAAAGCACATGTGTACATTCATTGCCCTCATCATTCTCAAGACATTTGCTCTCCACTTAAGCCCTTGGTATCAGCTCCTCATTTTTCTCACTCGCTCCCCACTCCCCCTCCCTCATGAACCCTTGATAATTTATAAATTAGTATTTTGTCATATCTTACACTGTCTGACATCTCCCTTCACCCACTTTTCTGTTGTCCGTCCCCCAGAGAGGGGGTCACATGTAGATCCTTGTCATTGGTTCCCCCTTTCCATCCCACCCACCCTCCACCCTCCCGGTATCACCACTCTTGGCACATAACAGGAACTTGCCACAAGATTGCAATGTTTAACTGGGGGCAGATTCCTGAGCAGCCACCCTTGATTTCTTAGATGTTGTAAACTGAATAGGTTGGTTAGATTTCTGCCTATTTTGCCCCTCGGGACACTGTTTAATTAACCGATTCCACCCATATGCTTCGGGCCTCTCTGGCTGTTACTCTGAGTCTTCTGGTTATTACAATAATTGTATCACCTGAATTTTCAGACAAATGCTACCACATGGCTTTAATTGAGGGGAAGGTGTCTGGTCAACCTGATGACTATAAGTTAGCTTGGTAGTAAGAGCCTTGCCTCTCATCAACTTTGACTTAGAGGAGAACGTTTCAGTGATACCAGTACGTCTCACAGCAGCACATTGCTGATATTCTTGGGAAATGGTGTATGAGCAGACAAAAAAGTGTGTTGAAAAAATACATGATCTTTCCATTTCATTGCTCCACAAACATGTTGAAGTTCTTTCATATTTTCTGATCCTTGCTGTGGATCATATGTTGGGGGTTCTGGTCTGAGAAAAATATTCACCTCAGTATGCATATTTGTATATATTTTCAATTTATAGTTCTATTTCTGCCTTCCACTTGCAATTAATTTTGGTGTAAAATGTAAGGCAGTGATCTGTTAAATAATGTCACGATCTACTATTAAATAACCATCTTCTCCCACTTGAAATCATGCTTTTGTCCTGTATTAGATTCTCATATGTCTCTGTTTCTGGACCCCATTTTGTTTTCTTTGTCTGTCTGTCTGATTCCACTCCTGGACCACCCTGATTTACTTTGGAAATCTGGCAAAGAATAGACACCACCCCTAGACACTTCCCCAACTCATTATTGTCATTCAAAATTGCTTCAGATCTCTCATTTTTCTTTCCGATGAACTTGCAACACTCCACCAAACTCACTGCAATTGAGTCGATTCCATCTTGAATGACCCTCTGTGGGATCCAGTTGAGTGATCCTGTAGGTCATGGTAGAACTGCCTCTGGGCTCCTGAGCCTGCAGAGGAGATGGGGCGCAAACTGCTAACTCTGCAGTTAGCAGCCCAACCCATGACCCACTATGCTCCAGTGCCCAAGTTCCAAAAAGTAACCAGTTGCTCTAAAATTACCCTGAATTCTGCACTCTTTGCAGAGAACCCAGATCTTTACAGAAACATAACATGTATTTTTTCTATTTAAAAAAATCATTTTATTGGGGCTCTTACAGCACTTCTCACAATCCATACATCCATCCACTGTGTCAAGCACATTTGTACATATGTTGCCATCATCATTTTCAAAGCATTTTCTTTCTATTTGAGTCCTAGGTATCAGCTCATTTCCCTCCCCCTGCCCCCTCCCTCATGAACACCATAACATGTCTTTTATTTGGGTCCATTTACCGGATGCTCGTGTTAAAACCAGGTGATTCCTTGGGTTTTATAGGTAGGCAGTTCTCTGATCTGCAAGTAATAATCATAATTCTCCATGGAATTTTGATTCCTTTGATCTACCCTTTGTTGTCAGTTGCCCTGGTGTCCATTCTGACTCACAGTTACCTCATGTGCGCCTACCAGCACTACTGCATAGGGTGACCTTTTGGAAGTAGATAGCCAAACTTGTCTTCGAAGACAACTCCGGGCTATTTCCCTTCAGTAGTTGAGTGCTTCATATTATTGCCATCCAATGACTCCTTCCTGGAAGTGACATCCATGTATTGATTAGCTGTTGATTAATGGTCAAGACTATCCTGGGTTTTTTTGTTTTTTAATTCATTTTATTGGGGGCTCGTACA